CTATAAGTTTAACAGAAGTATCCTGATGGAATCGATCATAAACGAAAACAACATATTCATTATTAATTAAGCATAGCTAAGGATCAGAAACTCATGAAAGATTGAAATTAAGTTACTATATATATATATATTTCTGATGAAATAAATTATTATAATGGTCTCTTAAAGTGGTCTCTTTTTCTTTTAAATTTATTATATATATATATATATATATATATATATATATATATATATATATATATATAACCATCTAACTTTCTGTCCTGGAGTAAGAAAAGTGCCTCACAGGTTTGATGTACGATTTCATTTTCAAGCCTTTTTCACTGCTCTTTCGATTATCATAGCTGAAACTCTTTTCTCTTATGGACTAAATTAGATCATTTCTTATTGATCTCTTTGAAACGATGAGCCCCTCTCACATTTGTGACCTCCTGATCCAGTTTATCGCTCTATTGTTCCCTCTTTTTAAACTTATTCACATAGTCTTGATGGTTCTCTAAATGAACTTTGATGATGGAAGCTAGAGTATGATTGTTGGTGCCGTTACGGAAAGCCTGAATTATTTTTCCTCTCACCATTGCTCAGTAGGTCAGACACAAAACACCTTGTACTTTCAATATTTTAGCTGAATAACTCGAAGAATTTTTCAGTGATTCTTATAAAAAATAATGTCAAGATGGATAAACGTGTCACCTGAAAACCTGGTAAAAAGAAACTCAGTTATGATGTTACACGATTTGGACAATTTTCTATTACACAAGGTACACACACGCACAGACACACACACACACACGCACAGACACGCACAAACACACACACACACATACACACACACACACATATATATATATATATATATATATATATATATATATATATATATATATATGCATGTATGTATGTAGGTGTGTACGTATACTGATTCTGGATTTGATCTTGCTTAATCAATTTCGTTTTAAGTTTGCTTGCCAAGTTGTTTGGTTGTAAGCGCAAAGAAACTTATTTAAGTTCAAGTTCTCATTTACGAAACAGTGGGAAAGAATAAATAGCAATTAAAATTTGTTGCATCCGAATTTCTTTAAATTGGAAATTTAGTTAGCTGGTTTCAATTTAATGTTTTCCCTCTTATATACATAGAGAGAAAAAACGGTACGTACATATACGTACATTAACATTGAATCAATAGCTGTATCTACTGAATGAAAATTGGTTCTCTAACGTACCAGAATGTTTTTTCTCGTCAAAATCTATTTTACACATCTACAAATCTACCATTCTTCCGTGTCTTGAATATTGTTGTCATATCTGGTCTGGTGTCCCTGCTGTTCATGTCGAGGTTCTCGAGAAAATCTAAAGAAGGATCTGCAATATAATTGATCCTAACCAGACATCTTAACTGTAATCACTTTCTCACACATGTGATATGGCTTCCCTCTGTCTTTTCTACAAATATTTTCATTGCAATTACTCTGACAAGCTATTTTCCCTGGTTGTCCGACTAAAAGAATTGAACCGTGCTACTAGATTGGCATCTAGGTCCCACCCTTTTACTGTTGAAATAGTTAAATGTAACCGCCACTTCGGCTCAGGCAGTTTCTTTTCTCGCACTTTCTCTGAATTGCTTCCCTGATAACCACAATCTTCAAAAATTTAAATGCAGTGCCAACCGCCATCTTCTATTGACTTGAACCCCGTTCATGTTTTATACTTTCTTCAGTATCTCTATACCAATTCTTTTCTCTTACTTTCACTCTCTGTAACCCCCTGTGTCCTTGCTTGGGGTGAAATACTTAAAAATAAGTGATATGTAAACACACTGAAAAATTGATTGATTTATTCATTTTCTACGGCTTATCAACCGTTTACAGTTTATGTAAGGCCAGAAAATATTTTTAGATTGTAAGAAATTTTGTGAGGTAACAATGGTTTAGTGATACAAGACTTACTAATTAACCCATAGCTTGAGGGAGAAGGGGAGGATTCATACACATTAATGAATATAACGAAACCAACTGCAACTGGAACTCTTCGCTCCGATTAAAAATTCCGTGCTGTTATTATGTTATGACGTCTACAGTTAAGGTCGTGGTAGATTTTGAAAGGTAGATTTAGTGACTGACTACACACACACACACACATATATATATATATATATATATATGATTGATTTTAAATCATTGTTATATTTTGGGGAGAAAAATGATGCATTTCAGTATCATTCAATGATTTTTTCTGGTTTTCTCTTATATTTTGCATAGGAGTCATTCCTTGTACAAATTTAAATTTAATCAAAAAAATCAGTGGCTATTTGTTCACCCGGTGACCATTTTTAATCAAATTTTAATATACTTACCTAAATACCGTGCGTAATGTAGTTTCAGAATATATATGATTATAGGGGTCTATCTCCAAAATCCTAGGAGGAATTCGATAACAAACTAGCAGACGGACAGGGGCTAATACTTCTCTTATACTTGGAAAAAAAAATGACGTGATCTTTGAACTTTGAAATCGAGAACGCTGCATAAGCAGTAAAAAGGAAGAGTTGAAATGTTTTGAATTTACAAAAACACATATACATACTCACAGACAACTTAAACGTTTGAAGATTGTCTCAGATGAGATTGAAAGTACTTGGGAAAATAAAAAAAAAACTATTTGAAAGAAAATTTTGGTAATTTTCTTAATCCATTTTCTAAGGCTACCAAGAAATTAATCCGTGAACTTGAAAGGATCACAGCAAAAACTAATGGACATATGCCTAAATTATTTAACAAAATCTATTTGAACACACACACATATATATATATATATATATATATATATATATATATATATATATATATATATATATATATATTGATAGGTAGATGTATATTTGGACAGAAACCACCTTTCAATATATTTTAAGTGAAAAAAGACTGAAATGTCCAATTTTTTTATTATATTTTTCTAGTATGCGAAGAAATTTTTTTCTTGGCTTAAGGAGTGTAAAAATTGTCCAAATGTTTGTGTTTCAGTTAGACTACTATAATAGTGCTATCATGCCCAGTCTAAACATTTCTGAAAGTAGACAGAGCAAAGTTACGGACACATTTATACTAGCCTGGAATTGTACTCACCTCAATACATAACATACTTGTCGAGAACACATGTATGATACGAACCTGCAAAAAGCGTGTAAAATAATGTAATCTCTAATTATTAAAATTAAAACAGAAATTTAACAAAAGAATGCCTGTAGTATTCAATAAATATATATATATATATATATATATATATATATATATATATATATATTAAAGAAAAACAGACCACTTTAAGGTTCCGTTATAATAATTTATTTCACCAGAGACCTTTTAAGGGACGCTGGATCATCAGATAACACTCCCAAAAATTGACGGGTAGTATTAAGTTTATGTAATTTAACATAGAGGTTTGCGAGGAGTGGTGTGAGAGACATGGTCAAGTTTAGAGAGGGTTTATTTTAATATTTCTTTTAATCATACTTAGTATTGGGGGAGGAGGAGTGACCAGATCTTGACCTATTTAAACGGTTAACTTAACGGAAGTCATATATTGAAATGGGAGGGGAGAAGAGAGAAAAAGAAGAAGAAAAAAGAAAGAAGGGGAAAGTAAAGAGACAGAAACTGTAAATAGGTTTTACGTAGGAAAAGGAGGGGGTGGTATATTTTTAGTAATTTATGTCAAAAAATAGATTTTAATGTTTGATCGTAATTTAAATGTTAAAAAAAAAAAACACACGAAAATTGTCCAAATCGTGTAACTCTAAAATTGTCTCTTTTAGATTAGGCTTTGTGCCATTGTATCTTAGAAATGATTAAAAAATACCTTACCGGAATTATTCGAGATTTTTTATAGCACTATTGAACCCCATTTAAATAATACGAATGTATTTAGCTCTAAGGTGAAATGATGATCCCTCTCCCTGTTGTGACCACCTGATCCAGTACTTCCCTCTACTGTTTGCTTCTTTTTTTAAACTTATTCACGTCCTCTTGATGCTTCTTGAATGGACTTTGAGGATAGACGCCAGAGTATGAATGTTGGTACCATTACTAAAGGTCTGAATAATCTTTTTTCATCTCATTATTGCTCAGTTGGGAAGACATATTTGATCTGACACAAAACGATTCTAACCTGTTCTCTTTTTAGCTGAATCTCTCAAATGGTTTGTTCAGTGTGTGTGTGTGTGTGGACAAATATATTCTCTTATTTTTAAGTAGTAGATTAAGCTGGGTTAAATTTAGTATATCTACATTAAATTAAAGTTGTTCAGCGTCGCTCTCATTTATCTTTTAATGATTGATTTCAGAGACCAGAAGCAAGAAGTCAAAATGTCTAGTGGTTGAAAGGTGCACGCATTGTTGGTGACGCCAACGAAGTTGAAGAAAAGTGAGTGAAATTCTTCTTGCAATCGTTAAACAACATGCGAAATTACTTTTCGGTTCAGAATTAATTTCGAATGCCAGTATCCCTTAATGAAAGTTGTTTTATTTAGCACGATATCTGATTAACGCTACATAATTAAAATCGATCACCCATTTCATTTTTTTTTTTTTGTACGCGGTTGAAATTTCGATTAACGCGATTTCAAAATTGATACGTCAGCAAAGAGATGTCCCTTTAACAATTTCTAATAAGGAAGATAATTTAGGTTTAAAATTGATATAGTTTTAAACTTAAATGTTCTCAGGTAAAAGAATATTTGAAAGTGGAAACTACTTTAACAAATCGATAATTCGACTTATCTTGACTAAATCTAATAGGTATAGTTATATACACATTTCAAATACCGGCATGGTCAAATTAGTGCCTTCATTTTACCTACTTCGGGCATGGTGTTTATTTAGCACAGTGGCCGGGTTATTTTTCTCTGAGGCAGGAGTATTTATATTCAGGAATCAAAGGATGTGAAGATGGCGTAATGGCGTGTTCGCAATTGGAAATCGGGTAGCAAAGTTCCAATTCAAGTCGGTTTACGGCCATATCACGTTGAAACAACGGTTCCCGTACGATCGCCGAAGTTAAGCAACGTCGGCCTTGTCGGTACCTAGATGGGTGAACTCTTGGGAATACCAGGCGCTGTAAGATAGGATGAGCCCTTGGGGTAATGGATAACGGCTTGGAATATTTAATCGGAGAGCCGAGTTCAATTTCCAGTTGGATTCATTATATTCACTTACGTGCAGAGAACACTGGGAAACGTATGGCCATATCTCTTCACATTAGTAAGACGTTTATCAATAAATGAATTATCTCCAGAAAAAAATAGCGTACAAAATATTTAGATTTAAACATATTATAACACATAGAGGTGTTGATCTGCCGCTAAGGTGTTGGCATGCCGTGTAAGTAATTCAATATACAAGCAGCGTAACTGCAATAAAAGTTGAGTTCCCCTTTGTGTCGTCAAAATTGTTTTGTTTGATAGATATGTTTGGTTTTACACGTGAAATACATTATTATTAAATAATAGGATAGGATTTGTTAAGCTCTATAGAAAATTTGGCTGGAAGATTATAATAAAAAGCAAACCATAATCGGTTCCAAATAATACCATGTCCCAAACTCTTTGACGGTCTTCACGACTGAACGGAACGAAATGTAAAACGGAAAATCTAACATTCTCTTCAAGAAGGGGCAGTTTGAAAACTATATCACAGAGTATGAAACCTCCATGGCCCAACCTATTTTCATGTTAATTTATTTAAAATCTATCCAGAAGTTTCTGACAGATATTATATTAGCTTATTTATTTTACAGGAGTATCTTATGTATTTTAAAGACCAGCTTTACTCAACTATTTTATCTGTTAACAATCAACCATGGATCAATTATAATCCCATATATGCGGGAGCATCGAAGGATTAATTAATTGTATTGATCAAAGGAAGCCTGTAATATGAACATTCATTCAGCTAATGCTCGTATTCTTCAGTTTGACACTGGGGGCTTGTTATATTTTTTTATCCACTTAAGAAATTCTCATTAAAACGTTAACAAATCCTATCCTATTATTTAATAATAATGTATTTCACGCGTAAAAACAAACATATCTATCAAACAAAACAGTTTTGACGACACAAAGGGAAAACGTTAATATAAACAAACTAACGAGACTTTTTTATAATAACGATATATATATATATATATATATATATATATATATATATATATATATATATATATATATATATATATGTGTGTGTGTGTGTGTGTGTGTGTGTGTGTGTGTGTGTGTGTGTGTGTGTGTAAAACAAGCAAAAAGAAAGTCAGTCTCGTTAAGTTATTTATTAACATGCCAAAAGATAAAACGAAATAAATCTAATTAGTTTTGAACTCCTACACGTTGACTTGTCTTTTCTCTGCTAATTAGCGCGTCGCCATATATCAAAGACTTACAACAAAAGGCGAAAAATGAAATGAGTAAGAATAGGAAGTTGATTCAAGTCAAAGATGTCGACGGAGATCCGTTCTTCAGCTTTCATGAACAATATTTTAATTAAGAAACATTTATCTGTTATTGCTGTTGTTTTTGAATCCACATCTTCTCTACCTGCAGCTTACAGTCACATTACTTTGAGACACCGGTTCCAGTACGATCACCGAAATTAAGCAACGTCGAGCCTGGTCAGTATCTAGATTGGTGACCGCTTGTGAATACCAGAATACTGTAAGCTTGGATGTGCGGGTGGTGTAATGGTTCGATTTGTTAATCGGATAGCCGAGATGCAGTTTCGATCGGGTTTGCTATATCAACTTACGCGCGAATACCACTAGGGAAATTATGATTCCACATATTCTCCCCAGCTATGGGTTAATTAGTAATTCTTGTATCACTAAATCATTATTATCTGCTCCTCACCAAATTCTTACGTTGTAAAATATTTTCACGGTTGAAACAACCTGAAAATGGTTGATAAGCCGTAAAAAACGAATCAAATCGAATAAATTGTCTACCTGCTATGCTTTAGCAGCTCAGATAGCAGCTCTTGGTTCTCTAGGTGTACTAGGCAACCAATCTAGGAGAAGGATAATTCGGAATTCAATACATAGAGGGTGTTTCACAATTTTTGAAGCAAAATATCAAGAACCACAAATTATAGCGTAATGAACATTACATTTATTGAAAGGTAAAATGATAAAATTTTAGTATCTGAAATCATTTAGTCTCAAACATGAACCAAAAATAGCAAGAAGAGCCCTAGAGTACATGCGCCAAATGTCCGCCATCCTGTTGAAGCCACTGTTGAATGCAAAGTTGATGATAACGCGTGTACATTCATCCTGGGTGATCGCTTGAATCTTCTCAGTGATGGCTGCCTTCAATGCAGCAATCGTTCGAGGGTAGATGTTGTCCTTGTGGACCCCCTACCCACTCATCGGAAGAAATTTACGGGGTGTGTCAGGTCAGGCGAGTGTGGTGCCCATTTCACTCCAGCTTTGCGTCTGATGAGACCCTCCCCAAACTTTTCACGGAGCCATACCATTGTAACATTGGCAGTGTGAGGAGAAGCACCATCCTGCTTGAATCGCTGTTCCTTCTCATTAAGGTCCTCAAACCCCTCGAACTCTCCTCATCTGAGAGGCTGTTGCTTTGTTTCAACAACTATGAAACGCTCTGTACTTGCCACAGGAATTAAAAAAGCGAAACCTGACGTGATGCGGCTGTTGTCTTACACTCAGCAGGGAGTCTAAAATGCTAGCAACAACATCAATGACACTAAATGTATTATACCACAGCCGTAGTATTAACTAGTCTTACATAGGCCGAGGCGCAAAGCTACAAATGAGGGTCAAACAATGAACACCGTACACATTTTATTTAGTCTTGAGGGAGTGACGAGTAATCAAACGAAAATTATATATTACCTCTGAAGAGGACCTTCGGCGTGGTGCAATGGTTAACAATTTTGTCTCGCTAGATCAATTAAAACTGATTTCGATCCTCACTAGGTGCCACATACATTCGGTCTTGTGACACATCTAAACTACGCTTAGAAACTCACCACGGACGCTTTGACGTGGTGTCGTAGTTAGCAAACATGTTTCGATAAATCAATTACGACTGAAAAGGGAGTTCGATCCTCACTTGGCGTACCACATCTAAGCTACGATTAGAAAATCGCCATATATAGCCTCTTAAGATATGGATATACAGTATGTTTTTTGTGAATAATACGATAGATTTAGAAGGAAAATTAAAGGAGGAGCTCGTATTTTACACAATATTTTTACTCAGCTTAAGAAATCTCTTATTTGAAACAGGGAGATTGCAAATACACCCAACACAAAACATAATAAATCACTAAGTTGGCAGGTGTTGATGAGGATTTTTGGAAACGGTATTTGATATGTCGGTGATATTTGTTCTTTGGTTGAAATGTTTTTAGTAATTTTTTTCTCTTTATTTACTATTTAACTGAAAAGAATTTAGTCCTTACTGTTTTGAAAAGTTTGGTTAAATTCTTTGAATATTTGTTTCCTCGCTGACTCCTTCAATATGAACGATATGATCGCTGGCTAACGGAAGAGGCGTACACATGCCTTGCTTTACTTTCTTCCAAATAGCCACGTGGTTCACTTGAATATCGTGTCAGTCTCCATTGAAGGATTGTCTTCGAATTTCAGTAATACCTTAATTCTAATTTAGCATCTGTTTGCCTTTGTTCTTACCACGTTTTAAAATGTCTTTAGTAATATTTTTTTCTCTTTATTTATTAAGTAAATGAAAAGAATTTAGTCCTTACTGTTTTGAACAGTTTGGTTAAATTCTTTGAATATTTTTTTCCTCGTTGACTCCTTCAATATAAACGATATGATCGCTGGCTAACGAAAGAGGCGTACATATGCCTTGGTTTACTTTGTTCCAAATGGCCACGCGGTAATCCACTGACTGATTGAGAAATGCTGGACAACTGCATAGTGCTTTAGGAAGGGGGAATGGGACTTAAACTTAATTTAAAGAAGGGTTAAATTTTGTTCTAAACGTTAAGTATTCTAGTCGATTATATCCTGAGTTAACAGGCTCGTTAGCAAGCCGGCTGGGCTAAAAAGGAGACCTAGCATAGGGCTTAGGATTTCTAAGACAACTACCAGCCTGGACTTCTTGTAAGCTGCTTTTTGTGTCCGCGTGAATGTGAGTGTGAGTGTGTGTTTGTGCGTGTGTTATTGGAGTAGGTAGGCTTTCCTACCGCCCGGTCAATACTCCTCCCACCTCTTATGAACAAGAGTAGAGGATCACCCCTTGTTTCTTGTTTAGGAAGGGGTTTCCTGAACTCTGCCTTTCCTCCTCTCTGGCCTCATTACCAGTACTGCCATGATTCTCCTGTGATATGTGCAGTCTGTTGAAATGCCTCTTCTTGACAGTTTGACAGTTTTCTGCTGGCTGTTTCCGACTGGTAGTTAGGAGCCCTAACTCTTGCGTGGCGTCTTGAGCGACCGCTCTGATCAACAGTTGTATAATACAAGGGTGCCTGTATTGCCATGTCGCGCACGGAAAGGTGTCCCTGCATTCACCTCCGGTGGGCAACCCTGAGGTCACATTATGTTGCAGGCTGCGCCAGTTTCTTTCTCCCCACGTCACAGTCGATGGCCGTCTACTACTTCTACTTCAGGCCATCTCTTTTTCGCTTCCTAAATCACCAAACATGACAAATAGCGATCCAAAAAGAAAACTCAAAACCATCTCTTAAAGTTGCCTAAACCTTTTAACTTTCTCTAACATGTGTTGCATTCGAACCAACTTCAGCAGTGTGGAATCGTTCCTCATTGAGAAGTCTCCCGATATACTGGCTCTCTGCGAGACCAACCTCGACTCGTTTATCCCCTGCTCTGACCTCTCGATCTCCGGTGTCCTTCCTCTCCTTAGAAAAGACTATCAAACACACATGCATGACATTGGAGTTTACGTCAAAATAATCCCCCACTGGCTAGAGAGCACTCTCTCGAATATCCACACCACTCACACTTGTGTCTCCGCCTATTGATCCTCAATGCTGTAAGCCACCTCTTCTTTTATCGCACTCCATCCACCCAAGATTGTGGTGCACTCGAAAGAATTTCCGACAATATAGACAAGGCTATCTCTATCCATCCGTTTGCTCATATATTTGTGTTCGGGGACTTTAACGCCCACCATACCAAATGGCTTAAAAACTCTATAACTGAACTTGCTGGCATATAATCCCTTAACATTTCTATTTCTCAAGCCCTCACACAAATAGTTGACTTTCCCGCACGTTTCCCCAACAACTTCGGCGGTAAGACTTCCCTTCTCGATCTCTGTTTCACCTCCATCCCCGAGTTCTGTCGCGCCTTGCAGCTCTGCCCTCTTGGCAACTCTGATCATGCTGTAGTATCTGTTAACATCTCCTTCTACTCTACCCCCAGCAAAGTAGCTCCTATCAACAGAATATCTTTTTGTTATTAAGGAGCAGACTTCCGGGATTTTCTTTGCGATGTCCCACTGGGATGTAGTCTTTAAGCTCCCCGTTCAAGAATGCGCCCCCAAGATCTCCTCCTGGGTAAAAGCTGGAATCGAGGCTTTCATCCCCGCTAGAAAATATAAGGTTAAATCGCGATCTTCCCCTTGGTTCTCTGCTGCTTGCTCCGCTGCCATTGCCGATAGGAATCACTTCTTCCGCCTATACCGTAGTGACATGTCAGATCGCAACAGACGTCTTTTTATCTCAACCCGTAACGAGTTCAAGCGTGTCCTCAATGAAGCAAAGTCACTATTTAATGATTGAATGAAACAGCGTATTGCATTTCGCAAATTCGACTCCAAGGATTATTGGCGTTTCTGCTAGAACGTACTTAACAATAGCAAACCTTTAATATCTCCTTTATTCAACCGATTTGAGGTCCTGATCTCCTCAGCTGATAAGGCTGAGTGCTTTGCGCGGAAATTCTCTTCCAACTCAACGCTCGACTCATCCGGTGTACCCACACCCGATTTCCCTACTAGAACCGAGGCTCTGTTGAGCGAGTTGCACATAACCCCATCGTTGGTATTTCAAAACGCTAGTGGTAGCGACGGGATACTAGCCATTTTCCCGAAGAAATGTGCTTCGGAACTGGCTGCTACCTTCCCCAAATTATATTACTGCCTCAATGACTCTTGCTTTTTTTACAGCTGATGTGCTCACGGCCATAACTGAAATTATTTACCAAGCACTCCACAATAACGGAGAAGCTCGTGCCGTGGCCCTAAATATTTCTAAAGTGTTTGATATGGTCTGGCATGCCGGCCTCTTTCGTAAGATTAAGGGATACGGAATTTCAGGTCGATTATTTGACTTAATACGATCATTCCTGTCAAACCATGTAATGAAGAACGTCCTTAACGGATTCTCCTCCAGTTCCTTTCCCACGAACGCGGGTGTTCCCCAAGGCTCTATCCTAGGCCCTAATATGTTCCTTATCTTCATTATCGATCTCCCAGTCATCAGTTCCTAAGTAGACATCTATGTTGACGACACAACTATTTAATCCTACCTCAATGGCAAGTCTGGTATCGCTGACAAAACTAACCTGATCGTTAGTCTCGAAAAGAACCTCCAATCGGTTGATGACTGGGGCAGAAATTGGCTGGTTAACTTTAATAACTCTAAAACAAAAATGTTAACTATTACTCACTACAGGGAAACCATCCCTGCCTCCCATTAGAATGTCT